AAGTTTTGCTAGCCATTAACGAGATACAACTCACATGTTTGTCCCATGAAATTTTCGAGGGTCTTACATTGTCAGCTATGTATACACAATGGCTAAAGGGCCTCATGCGCCTCCATCACAGGGGCAAGAAGACAGGAAATAAAAATCCAAGGCAGCGAAATGGGTCAATAAGAAATAGGTACTCCCCGAAAGTCACACAAATATCCAACCGGGAGGGGATGGTTTCCTGACCAGGAACGCAACCCATAACGTCGGGGTGAAAGCACAGAATGTGAAGTCTAAGGCCGCAAGGTCGAGTGACCTTTGCTGTTATTCCTACGGGGCAGTTTGAGCAGACACAGGAGTTTATCTTTGTTTTCGTCATATTTTTTGCTCTTCACTTCTGTCAAGCAAAGTTTTAAGGTTAGCCGTGGCACCATCCTGTGTCTTTTCATACATTTAACCTTTATATCGAACGCTTAGAATAAGAAAACTCTAAAATCGTTTTAATAAAATGTGGGAGGCTAATTTCAAGGATCAATCAATCTTTTGGCCATCGGCAATTAGAATTCCCAATAGCGTAGTGACGTTCAACAGCAACTACCCTCTTCAGAGAAGGAGTAGTCCCAAAGATGCCCCCTGTTCCCAGACATAGGCTAAGATAACAAATGATTCCTTCCTGGGGTTGCAGTTTGCCGGCTCACGCTAGTTAGACCAGCGGTCCCCAACCTTTGTGGCACCACAGACCTGTTTCATGGAAGACAAGATTTTCATGGAACAGCACTGGGGGTATGGTTTTGGGATGACTCAAGTGCATTACACTTATCGTGCACTTTATTTCTATTTTTATTCTATTGTAATATGTAATGAAATCATTTTACAACTCACCGTAATGTAGAATCAGTGGGAGCCCTGAGCTTGCTTTCCTGCAACTAGACGGTCCCGTGTGGGGGTGATGGGAGACAATGACAGATGATCAGGCATGAGGTTCTTACAAGGAGTGGTATGCACCCTAAATCCCTCTGTAACTAATACATCTGTTAGACTCCCGACCCCTCAACTCTCTCCTACTTGAAGACGGGTTCTTTACTGGGGTACTCAAGTTAAATTACATTCATTACGGTGGGCTCTAACCAAAACGTGTAGCGTGCATTGTGGCTATCCACAGGAACTTCAGACACAGAGACATGCGTACGAGGGAGGAAATGTCAAGTGACATTGGGAGAAGTGGGTCGTCCTCAAGCCAAAGAAAGATCCCTGGAAGAGATCCCTCCCTCTTACTCCTCAGAAGTAACCAACCCAGCTGACGGCTTGATTTGGACTTCCAGCCTGCAGAACTGTGAACAATAAATTTCTGCGGTTTAAGCCAGCAGGCCTGTGGTATTTGTCAGAATAGCCCTAGCAAACTACTAGAGATTCTGCTGCCAAGCAGTGGGATGATGCCGTAAGGAACACCCAAAGGACTGGAAGAGGCCTTGGAACTAGGTAATGCATAGAGACTGGAAGCGTTCTGACGCGCATGACACAAGAAGCCTAGAGTGTCTTTAGGAGACAGCTGGGGGAAATATGAACGCAAAATGCAAGTCAAACGAAGGTTAAGAAAGAATTCTTTGCCGTCGAGAAAGGCTATCTGACTTAAAGAATACATGTATCATGACCACCTATATGTTGCTAGAACTGTGAGTGCCAAAGGTGTTTGTGGTGAGTTTTCAGACGGAGACTAGGAAGATGTTATGGGAAGCACACGAGGAAAGGGGATCCTGGTTTTACAGTGGCAAAGATTCGGGCTTTAATGTGTTCTTAGTGTTTTCGAGGAAAGTAGAAATCGTAAGTAATGAAATTGCACATGCAGCTGACTTCTAGTGTTGGGGCTCAGAGCGCAATACCTCAAGATGAAGGCCTCAGAAGTAGTCTCAGATATAAAACATTTTCTCTGACGTTCCATGGTCTCCTGTCTCTCAGTCCCAATCTGCCCCAGGGGCTAATCATAGAGATCAGAATCCCTCTTCCCGAAGGTGGGTCCTAGGAATCGGAAGCCCCTTTCTCTAAAGATAGTCACAGAACCTAGAAATGATATTGTAATATTTCCACCTTTTCATGTACAACCCGACTATGAAAAAATAATCTAACCCATCTTTTTCGATAGGCTAAATCGCAAGAAACCCCATTGCAGAGAGGGTCATGCCCCATAACCAGGAGGAAGGACTGTGTGCTCAGAGAAGCCAAGCAGAGTCTAGACGGACGGGCCTGGCCGGGTTTCCCGCACTCAGTCTGTTAGCATTAGATTACAGCCATTTGTTCCAATATGGTTATACTCAGCTGTCCATACTTCTTGGAGCCCATGCATAAAAATAGATGATTTCCCATGTGTCTTTGGCTATTCACACTACAGGCTCCCGGGGATACAAGTTAAATAAGTTGGTATGCCTTATGTCCTATGGATGTGCCTTTTGCAAGCTGATTTTTCAGCGAAACTTAAGAGGTCCGGGGGGACCCGTAGCCACTACAGTGGCAAATTGAGAAAACCATTTAGGGTTTAATATGGTTTCTACTAGATCCATATAGTAAATGGAGAAGAAGAAAGGCAAATTAGCCAAGGAAGCACTGAGGAGAAGGAAGCCAGCGTTTGATGATTCAGAAGGTACAACGAAAGAAGATAGCTCACTCTGGAAACAGGTCCAAGGGTGCGCCTGGAAACCCATTAGCTAGAGAAGTGGGGCATGTAACTCATGGATCCAATAAACCATCTCTGCAGAAGTTAGGAACTGACATATGGGTATTCAAGGAAGATCTTGTCTGATGGCATGGACTCATGTGAATTCCCCGAGAAGCCAAAAAGTTTTTGAGAATTTTATACCAGAAAAAAAAGTGTTGTGAGATTGAACTGGATGGGACAAAGATGGCTGAAATGGAAAGAAGCTGTTAGAGTTCCTGGATCGTACAGGCAAGAAAGGGGCTGACTGAGGTACCCAGCTGTGACCATTTCTTCACATTCGAGAAGACGAGGAAGGACTCCAAAGTTGGGTCAAAGGTTGGCACGGCCGCCACCTCCCCCCAAGAACCAGGGGCACAGTACCTGGGGGCTGGGCCATCCCTCTCGGTCCCAGAAGCGGATGTCACCTCCTGAGTTCCAGGCATTTGTCCCACCTCCTCGGTTTCACAGGGATGGGCGGCAGCAGCCCAGGCTGGGGTGAGAGCCTTCACTTGGCTGCCCAGGACTTAGGGTGTGAAGCTGTTACCCCATTGGGCCTCAAGGACAGAGCGTTGAGCCCTAGTAGAATCTTTTCTTTCCACGGAATCTGACGGAGTTTGCCCCACTATGTTTCAAGCTTGCCTCGGGCCCACGAGGTCAAGGACTTTTGCTGAGCTCCTGCTTTCGGTATGATAAGCCCTCTCCGGTGCCAGTCCCACAACTGTGTTTCAGAAGCAGAGAACTTGTCTAGCTTCACAGGTGCAGTGGCGGAGAGAATTCCTACCTCAGCATGAGTCAGACCTGAAGACTCACCCATTCCTGATGGAGAAGATTTTCAGGTGAGATGTTGGATAACTGGTTTTGGACTCAGTTAAGCCTTCGGGGAGGTTGTGATGAAATGAATGTGTTTTCTATGTGAGGACGTTAATTTGTGCTGTGGAGGAGTGGACGCAGAAGAAGCACCATTACGGATGGAGTTTTGTCCCCGCAAACTTCACATGTAGACGTCCTGGCTCCCAGTGTTTTAGAATGTGACCTTATTTAAAGAGAGTCTCTACACAGGTCATCTGGCTAAAGTGAAGTTATGAGGGTAGACCTAACCAATGGGATTCGTCTCCTTACAAAAATGTGACAATTGGTATCCAGAACTGTGAGATAAAAAATAAATAGTGTTCCTCGGACACAGGGAGAGGAATATCACACACCGGTGCCTGTCGGGGGCTGGGGGGCTGGGGGGCTAGGGAAGGGAGAGCCTTAGGAGAAAGACCTAATGTAGAGGACGGGGTGATGGATGCAGCCACCACCATGGCACATGTATAACTATGTAAGAAATCTGCACATTCTGCACACGCACCCCAGAACTACAAATATAACTTTAAGAAACAAGAAAATAAATAGCGTTTAAGTCAGCCAGTCTCTGGAATGTTTTTGCATCGGCCCTAGAAAACTAATAGAACATCTCCATCAACGGCATTAAAAGCATACAACCAATCGAAGAACCAACGACGCACAACCATCCAACCACAGGTTTCCCCTTCAACTCCAACTGAACATCCCTGGACAACTCACTCTTACTAGTTCAGACCAGGACACCTGATCACACCTTGGGCTGTGGCTCCTGGGCTGCAGGTGCCTCACTGGCTGAAAGGGATCCGAGTGGAGCTTCTGCTGCTCCATCAGACAACATTCCATCATCCCATGATGCGCAGAGGCCAGTCATGAAGGTTTTCAAAAACAAAAGATTCTAGCCTGAAGAAGAGCAGAATCAGAGAAATCTAAACAAGTGAGATTCCAATTCTAGGGAGCCTAGAATAGGAATTGATCCTTACACTTTTGTAGTTTTTTCTGTGCAGTGTTTGGGTCGTTGCTTCTCTTTTGAAATGAACTCCATGGTACAGGGAATGCTGACAGAAAGACTGATTGGACTCTATTGCTCTTATTCCTACTATTTTTCCTACATCGGTATTTCTCATTGGTTATTGAAGCAGTAAAGACATTTTCCTTACTTTGTGTTTTCAGTAAGCCACAGCAAGGCATCAGGATTGCTCACTAGGTTCCCCTGCTTCTCAATCACCCACCGAAATGCTGTACCAAAGGCGTGAACCTCCTCTTCCCATCATCCCATCAAACTACCCTTTTGCTCTTTCTTCCTATAATTCGTCGGCATCAGTCCCCTTGAACTCCCACTCTCCACTCTCCACAGCCCGACCAGAGTTCATCGTGGGCCCTGTGTTACTAATGCTCCTCTTTGATTTCTGAATTTGCAGGTACAAAACACACACTCCAGGGTGAAATATCCCAGTGGATTTGGTTTCTGAAAAAGACATATCAAATTACTCAGTAGATATGCAAGGATAACTTTCGAAATTTATTTCTATGTCCTACTTGACAGAAAAGTTGGCACTTTAAAGCAAAACGATGAGCATAATGAGAATTCATTGACTGAGTGGGGTGTGGTGTTTTGGATCAGGTACACAGCTCTGTCTCTGGAAAACAACAGGGATCTGCAAAGCATCTTTGGTTTTCAGATTGTTGTGTGGACAGGTAGGAACACTTGTCGGCCTCCTGCAGAGGGATTTCATTGCAGCAGATTTCGTGGTGGTGTTTCTTGGTCTCCTGGCGAGGTGAGCATTTTTCTTCAACTATTTTCATAACATGTTTCCAACAGTCTGGAAAAACAGAAAACAACCAATCCCGGTGAGAGGACTTCTTGCTTCTACATCCTTTCTCTTTGGATCCCAAGTGGAGCTCTGGAGGTGACCTTCTACCCGTACCCGTCTGCACTACTCAGGGAAGCTCTGGCTTCTATCCTGCTCTGCGCTCATTTCCATCTGACCAAGCGGTCCTCCCCTCAAAGGTAGAATAATCTATGTGGCTGTGTGTTGGGTCCCCCTGGGGTGGTTATTTCCCACTTCTGAGGGACTCAAGAAAATTTTGATTCTTGTGATTTACCAGCTTTTCTTTCATGGTTTGGCTGAGTGTACCATCCTTGACAGGTTTCTGCATATAAACGAGAAGGGTTGTTTATGAGATGTTTCAAACTTTGTGGAATCATTTAACAGAAATGACCACAGACTGAGCTTCAAGGCACAAAATAATAAATTCCTATGGGTGGCAATCCCAGCGTAGGTTTTCTTGTCCACATGCTCGGACTGCTGGAAATCTATTTAAATGAAAAGCAAAGAGAAAGCCACCAGCTGCTCTGAAATTCTGCAATACACTTATAGAGGAAAATGCTAAATATACAAAGACCTGGGACCCAGAAGAAAGCACAATGAAAAGCAGCCTATACTAACATTAACATGAATAAGCAAATCTCTGGAGGAAATAAGTGTCATCTTACTCCTCCTAAAGGCTGACCAAGCTCTGCATAACTTGATGCCAGGGGCAAGGAACATAGAATACCCCTAGCTTTGGATTCATATCCTTAAATCACCGTGGTTACAAACACTGAAAACTAAAACGTCAGGTAAAGAATCACAGCCCTGTCCCTTGAAACACCAGAGTGAATATCACAGGAAAGCGGTTGTGGGTACAGCCTCAGTCACGCCCCACACATTGGGACACTGACTGTTGCTCACTGCCTGCACCACTGGATACTAGGGCATCAGCTGTTTGCGTGGACTCTCCCTAAGCCCACTGACACAAACCTGGAACTAACGGAGGTTTCTGTTTAAAAAGAAATGAAAAGATTATCTGTCAGGGGAAAAAAAAAAAGAATGAACTGCAATAGTGATGTCAGAGTCGAGGCAGAGGGAAAATGAGCGGATTCCTCAAAGTTTTATTTAGCTATATGTACGGTGTAACTGGGCCTCATTTGCTTATTTACTTGGATTCGTGTTGGGAGAGATGTTGAAAACATTTAGGACGGTTACCTTGGTTCTTCTGTCAGCGTATTCACTTTTTCTGTTGCTGTAGGGCATATACTGAACTTCTGGAATATTCCACCATCCAGTCGCAGGAGAACGAGAGTGAAAAGGGTAAAGATCAGTGCATTGATAACATCACCATAAAGATAACCTAGAAAGAAAACTAATAAAAACGACCATTTAGGAAACTGAGGAAATGAAGCAGGATCGAGGAAAAACCCACTACTTTTCCTTGGAGCGAATGGCACTACAGATATATTGGAGTTGACAGTGTCTAGTACCGAGGGAGAAATGCTTGAAAAATCGCAGGATGCCACATGCCACATGCTACCCCCCCCGACACGATTTCGAAAGAACGCCAGCCACCCCAACCTCCGCTGGGGTCCCCCCCCCTTGGGGAGCCACTGGTCTTTCCGTGGTGCTCACGGGCTCCTGAGGTAGCTCACTTGCTCCTGGTGTACCTGAGAACAGCCTTCGTGCCCTCGGACTCGGCCAGCCTGCCCATGTCCCCCGGCATCAGCAGGCGCACGGCGATCTGGATCTCCCAGGCGGTGATGGTCACGTGCTTGACGGAGTGGGCCAGGCGACCAGCCTCGGAGCCGATGCGGTCAAGTATGTCGTGAACCATAGAATCCATGACACTCACGGCCTCCCGGGAAAGGCTGAGGCCCTGGTGAACCTGCTTCAGCACCAGGCGGAAATAGGTGGCGAAGCTGTCCCCATGGCAGTTGGCGTGGCACCTGCGGGGCCCTCGGCGCCCTCGCTTCCTCTGCTTGCTCTTCTTCTGGGCTGTTGTGGAGTTGGCCTCTTTGGGCTCCTGGGTGATCACTTGTTCCCAGAGGAAGTTCTAGCCATGGCGGAGGCAGCGGCCATTAGATGGCAAGAAGAGGCAATGGCGGTTGTCGCCGGGGACAGACAATGGATTGTGAAGCGGGGACGCTTGGGTACGCAGCATGGCTCCACGTCACGGGCCAACTTGACATCTGATTGGATCAAGTGGATGAAGTCACACAGGGACCCTGTCAGCAAACCTCCCTGCATCGAAGGTGACTGGATGGTTCCGTTGCTTGGCATCTTGTCAACCAATCACAGCGGGGCGTCTGCCGGCCTAGGCGCCCCCTGTGGCCTACGTCGGAGGCACTTACACAGATGCCTCACCGGGAAAAAGCGCATCAGCCCTCCTCAGCTGATACATGACACACCCTGTGCACTTTGAAGGGTGTCACTGAAAACTCCCAAAGCTCAGCAATTTCAGCTCATGCTCCATGAAGAGATACAGACCTCCTGAGCCCAAGCCATTATGCGGATGCCAGAGGAACGACCGTGTCCACGTGTGGACCGGTTCTCACCCATCTCAGAATCTACTGTTATCCCTGGCTAAGCCACCCCGGCTTTAGCAGGAACTCCCCGATACGGCCGCCAAGGGCTCCTGGGCAGAAAAGGACCTGGCGTCTGGCTGCTGTCTTCAGTTCTGATCACCATCTTCAGTGAATCTGGAGAACGAGGAATGGCCATACCACAGCCTCCAAGCCGAGAATAGAAACGGAAAGGTGCTTTCATTTAAAACATATAACCACACTCAACATTGACCAGGGTTTAAACCCCCCCCCCCAAAAAAAAGAAGAAAATAAAAAAGGAAAACGAAACAGCAACCACAAATCACAACTCAGAGTTGGAAATGGCTAATAAGTTTAAGAGATATTCGTATGAAATATCACCTTAAATCTCCTCGAACTCCCTGAGGAAGAGAAATAGATTCCAAAAATGAAAACCACGTTCAATTTAGAAAGATAGCTTTCAATGGCTCACGCCTGTAATCCCAGCACTTGGAGGCCAGGCAGGCAGATCACGAGGTCAAGAGATGTAGACCATTCCTGGCCAACATAGGGAAACCCCACCTCTACTAAAATACAAAGAAAAATTAGCTGGGCCTGGGGCGCACCTCTGTAGTCCCAGCCACGCGGGAGGCTGAGGCAGGAGAATCGCTTGAACCCGGGGGGCAGAGGTTGTACTCAGCCAAGATCACGCCACTATACTCCAGCCTAGTGCCTGGCGAGAGAGCGAGACTCTGTCTCAGAAAAGGAAGATAAGCCTGTGACAATATATGCGAAGACATGCCTTAAATGAATTAAGTAAAGTCATTTGCGGAAAAAACAAACAAAAGCTTATTAAGAAAAACTGAAGAAATAAAGGTCATGAATGAACTGTTCATTTCAAAGGTCAGGCTGGCAGGTGTATCTTAACAGACTACTTGTTCTACTCCTGATAAATCGGTTCACGATTAGAAGGACAGAAAGCCTCATGTTTGCTATTAATAACATCCTATGTGGTAAGCTCCAAGACAGAAGCCTAGTAAAGGATTTCTGAACAGTCCCCTCTACAAACGATAATTTTATAAATCTGCTTGAACTCTTAGCAAGCCAATCCTTCTCTAGTTTGGTACAAGGCAGAAGAAACTTGTACACAACAATCTCTGAATTCATATCAGTAAATCACCGTGAGTTTTTTGTTTTAAAAATGACGCTGTCCCGGAAGCTGCCCCGCCGCGGTTGGCAATGGCGCCTCCGGGGACCCTCGGTGGCCTCCGCTTCTCCTGCCTCTGGCCGTCGAGAGGCGGCTTCTGTGGGTTTCCGGGGTGCTCTGTCTCCTCAGAGGTTTGGCTTAGAGGAAGGCTCAGCCATGGCGGGGCAACGACAGCTAGATGGCAAGAACAGACGATACAATTGGGCACCTGGGAAGGTTGGGGGCGGGGCATTTGGAGTGGCCGCGGGTTCTATGTCACAGCCAACTCGACATCTGGTTCGAAGAAGTGTTTCCCAAAGAGCCTGTCAGCAAACCTCACTGCCTTGAGGGTGATTGGATGATCCCGTTGCTTGGCATCATGTCAACCAATCACAGTGGGTGTCTGCCGGCCTAAGTGGCCCCTGTGGCCTACCTCAAAGTTACACAGATAGATGGCCCACAGGGCACATCAGCCATCCTCAGCTGATCTATGCCGCGCTGTGAGCATTTCCAAAGGGGTCACTGAAAACTCCCAAAGGTTAGCAATTTCAGCTCACGCTCCTTGGAAAGAGCTTGACCTCCTGAGCCCAAGTCCATTATGCGGGAGGAATGACTGTGGCCACGTGTGGACCATTCTGAGACGGGTGCATCTCAGAATGTACTGCTATCCTGGGCTAAGCCAGCCTGGTTTGAGCAGGAACTCCCTAACATGGCTGCCGAGGGCTCCTGGGCATAAAAGGGCCTGACGGTCTGGCTCCTGTGTTCAGTTGCGATCAACACCTTCAGTGAATGTGGATAAGGAACAATGGCCAAAGCACAGTCTCCAAGCAGACAACACAAACAACAGTGGAGATGCTTGTAAAAGCATTTCCAATCCTTAAATGTGTATGAAATTTAAATCTCTTTTCTGAACAGTATTTTGATCCCCAAAAGACTCTGAATGTTACTGTTGGTGAATAAGCGATGTTGGGTGAAAAAAAAAACACTAGCCCAGTTCTCTAAGAAACCTTCTTATGGAGAAAAATTCAATCTATGAAATCGGAAATAAGTTAAATACCCTTCAAGAATATATGATAATACATTCAGAAACATTTCTTAAATACATGAATGCAAAACATAAATCCCAGAAAGTGAACCAAACGAGGATTTAACGATTAAGAAGAATTGAAGACATGGAGATCACCAGGAAGGTACCATCCGAAATTCCAATGCTGCTTCCTCTCAGACTTTTAAGATCAGGTCACTTATTCCTAATAAGATTGTTCCCGGTTTACAGAGAAAAAAAAAATTTTTTTAACAGAATCTTGCTCTGTCACCCAGACTGGAGTGCAGTGGCATGATCTCAGCTCACTTGCAATCTGTGTCTCCCGGGTTCAAGTGATGCTCCCACCTCAGCCTGCCGAGTAGCCTGGAGTAGAGGCACGTGCCACCACGTCCGGCTAACGTTTTAATTTTTTATTTTTTGAAAGACCGGGTTTTCTTTAGTTTCTCCAGCAGGGTTCCAAACTCTAGAATCACACGATCCTCCTGCCTAGGCCTCCCAAGGTGCTGGGATATACGGGCATATGAGCTAAAGTGCCCGGCAGACAAAATTTATTTCAAGAAAATATAAAGTAACATGCTGTTGATTCCCATTTCAGGATGCATACTAAAAAAAGAAAAATCTGAGCAGCTCATTTATAAACGTGGTTACAAAAATTGTACCTTAAATACTGTTAATTAAATCACGATACACACACACACATAAGGGAAAATGTTTACTGCAATAAATAACCATTTAAAAACACCAAACAGAGACAACATTGCTAATGGAACAAGGAGACCTCATACACTCTTTTCTCATCATGGCGTCTGTTATAGAATTCATTTAAATACATAACAGAAACCCACAGCGCAGAAATTGCTAAATCAGAAATTCATTGAACACATCTTTTTCAAGCTTCCTAGAAACTGAAGTAAGTACTCTAACGCGTTCACATTTGTCTAATTCTAATATTTCCATTCTACAATCTTTTTCAACGCAGAGCCTAATGTCCTGTGAGTATGCATCACTTAGGGTGAAAGCATCCAATGAGAGCACCCAACCCCACTCTCTGCTGGCTCAAGGAATGTATCTTCAGCCCTGGGCCTCAGCCATTGGCTCAAGATGGGAGCAGGTGACCTGACCTGATCCATTAAGTGCCCTCCTAGCTGTTCAGGCTTGCAAATGAGGAGAAAATTAGTTTGTGCTTTTTGTCTACTTTATATTTCTTTGTTTGATTTTTTGCCTTATTGTAATTGTGGTGATTTCAGGATGTGAATCCAAAGCTGTGAGTAAGCACGTGTCCTGCCTCTTGCATCATACTGTGAAGAAAGGTTCTCTGAAAAGGAATCTGGAGGTAAGACACTATTCCTGCGAAGGGTGTGAAAAACCAGGGAGGTAGAGGCTTCAGTGTGAAGCAAAGGTGCAATTCCAGAGAACAAAAAGACGATATGGCTTTCATAGAGAAACTTCCCATCCAAGTTCCCAGTACAGTCCATTTATGCAAATACAGGATTCAGACTTAGGTCTGATTGGTTGACTCAGTTGAGCTCTGATCGGCCAGTACAACTGAGCCCTCATTGGCAGGGGCAGATGAGCTCTGGTTGGTTGGTTGGTTGGTTGGTTGATTCAGGTGAGCTCTGAGAGTTCCAAAGTTAGATAGTGCTGTGGATTTTGGGAGATTCATAGTACATCTGTGAGCTCCAGTCAGCACATGGCAGCTTGGCTGTATTTTAAATTTAGGCTCAGCCACTGGGATCCTTCTTGAAAGACTGGCTCTTTTAGATTCACGTTTGTTCACAAGTTAAGGAAAATGATAGTGACCAATTAAGAAAGCTAGGATGAATCTCTCCCTTTTTCTTTTTTCAATTTGATTGTTGTGGGGTTTTTTTCACTTTCAAGCACATGTATCTGACAAAATTAACCCACTATGGTAATTTGGGTCAATGAAAACACTTACTTCAGTACAAGGCTTTCTCCACACTGTGATTGGTCCTGATTCTTGACCCAATATAATGCTCTTCCTCTTTCATCATAGACTGTCACTCTGGAGTAAGGGGGAAGTGAGTGGGGGCACAAAGAAAAAGCTTTAAAAAGTGACTGTTTACTATTTCTCCTAATCCCAGCCATTTTCCCCAGCATAGTGACCATTTGTCCTGATTTCACCTGTTGTCCCTGAGTAATTCTTAATAGCATTGCTTTCATTCTGAAACATGTCCAAATTTAAGACTCTGTACTTCCCAGGGTAACTAGATCATGCAGGAAGTTGTGAGTGTCGTAGCGCTCAGGTATTTGTTGAATGAACATATAAATGAATAAACCTCTGTTAGATAAGACACTGGCCCCTGACAAACTATGAGATAATTGCTGAATTTGTGTGGCTAGTCCACACAGTCCTTCTGGATCTCTTGGGTACAGTCCCCTTTCCTGTACTGCACTTTAAAAAAAATTCTTTCTCTACAAAGCTGTCTGAGTCTCAGTGGAAAACCCACGAGAATGTTTGATTGTGTTTCCTCCATGGTCTGCTTGTCACATTGACTCCCCCAGTAACCCTCTATAGTGTAGACATCTCAGCCTCAATTTTTTGCAGACAACACACAGGGTAACTAAGTAATGTGTCCAGTGATAACACAGCTGATAAATGGAAAAGCAAGGATTCAAATCCACACCAGTCTGAGTCCAGAACCCAAGTACTTGAACATTGTCCTCTGCCATCCTCTCTCATGTTGTAGTGGTGGCACCTTCAAGGCGTGGATACCTAGGGTAGACAGT